TATAATATGGCTCTCAGTGAACTTGACTTCCATCATAAAACGGAAACATTTGTCAAGATTTTGGGTTTTGAGGTAGCTGCCACCTAATAACTATTCAGAAAAAAATACCCCAAGTAGTTTAGGTCTTGTTGTAATCTCTGTGATTTTCAAGTCACACAGAAGGATACTCATTTCTATGTATTTATTTATGAAACCATGGTTATAATTTCTCAAAAAATACATATGTATAAAGAGGGACTAATGATCCTTAGTAGTGTTACCAAAAAAAGTAAAAGGTAAATTTTAAGCTAGTTCTTTTTCTCCCTAACACATAAAAAAGAATGAGTTAACACAAGCATTCATTTCAACAACTTTTATTGATGATTTATTATGTGTTGGGTACTATGTTGAGCCCTGAGGCAAATATAAAGAAATAAATGATCACTGCGCCCCTCCCCACTTAAATGGGAAAATCAATGTCAAGGATGAGTGAAGATTAAACCCTTACCATAAAGTAGAAGCAAGCAGCCTAAGTCATCAGGGAGCCTAAACGCCAGGTCAATTTCCTTCACATTCCTCTTCCTCTAAACTGTGTGCTTTTATTCAATGCTTTTCAAAGAAGACAGATAAAAGGCTGAACAAGAAGATACTTCTACTGCCCTTTTCCTTCTAAATACAGAAATTAGGGCTTGCTCTAACCTTAGATTCTTTCCCTCTCCCACCTGGAAATTAACAGAATGGAGAAAGACAATGAATTAATGATGAACAATTTGTTACTAACTTGAGGGAAGTCCAAATAACTAATTTTAGAATCTGCCATTACTGTGCTTCATCGTTTTGTTCTTGTTCTGTGCTTTTATTTTATTTGCATTATAGTTTTGCATATAAATGAATAAAAAGACAACACGTATTCATTCAGGTTGTAATGGTCATCATTTCTTCGTTATCATAAAAAGCAACAGTCACACAAAGTAACAACGTCTAAAGGGGTTTAATACTCTCCTCCTCACCCATGTCAAGGAAAGTTCAAAGGAATGGGACTACCACTCGATCCAGGACATCTCTCACTCCAAACCCCTCAGTGCCCAAGGTTGACACCACCCACCTTGGGCCTCCTCTCCTCCCTCCCACACTGCCTTCTCCTCAGCAATCCCATGCTTCATCTTTTTCACCTAGGAAAAATTGGGGGGTGGGGGTGGAGAATAATTGTTAGTAGCTATTAAAAATGTATTTAAAAGAATTGTTGAGGGGTGCCTGGGTGGCTCAGTTGGTTAAGCATATGACTTCAGCTCAAGTCATGATCTCATGGTTCGTGAGTTCAAGCCTCAAGTCAGGCTCTGTGCTGACAGCTCAGAGCCTGGAGCCTGTTCCAATTCTCTGTCTCCCTCTCTCTGCCCCTCCCTGCTCATGCTCTGTCTCTCTTTCAAACATAAATAAACTTTAAAAAAAAAAAAAAGAATTGAGGCGAAGGTCCTATTCATAAAACTTCAAACGTGCAGAGTATAAGGCCCAACACTGGTAAGTTCTCTGTGATGTCTGGTAGTGTCCGAAGTGAAGACCCTTCACCTGACCAGTCTACCATTTTGCTCCCCATTGCTGACAGTAAAGAAAACATACCTCAAAGGAGATTGTTTTGTCTCAAAAAAAATCAGAGATTCAACAAATGATTGTTGAAGCTGAAAGTATGTGTTGGTGTTTCAGAGTTCTTGATGTACGATAATAGGTGCTCAATAAAGTGCCTACTAAATAAATATTAGGTCCCTGTAAAGACTCCATAAAGCCTCTTGATTCTCAGATCTAGAGATTAACAGAAGAGTTCCTCATTCAAACATGGTGCTCCCAATATAATTGCAAGCAAACCTCATATAAAACTGTGTAGAGCCTGAGAGCTTCAAAGGGAGAAGAAACGTGAACATAACCTTCCCCAGCCTTGCAGCTGGGTGCTCTGCAAGTGGCTTAATATACAGACACCTTACCCCATACACAGCTGCCCAACTGGCTTCTGACTCCTTATGCCACCAAACCAACCTCCACAGAGCTCCCAGTGATCTTTGAAAAATGGAATCAGGGCACCTGAGTGGCTCAGTTGGTTAAGCGTCTGACTCTTGACTTTGACTCAGATTGGCCTTTGCACTGACAGCACAGAGGCTGCTTGGGATTCTCTCTCTGCCCCTCCCCAGCTCACACTCACTTTCTCACTCTCTCTTACTCTCAAACTTTTTAAAAAATTAGTTACAAATGGAATTTTTGATTATTACACATGTTGCTTAAAATTCTTCAGTAAGCCCTAAGAATTAACTATCGCATCTTTTCACACTGTAAGAGGAGATTCACCTGATCTGGCTCTTGCTGCCTCTCTAGCTGTTTCATTGATCAGCTGGTTGGCTGGTTGTCTGTGTTGTTTGTTTGGGTGGGGGAGGGCTTTCTTTTCCTCATGAGGTTCTGGTTCTCACTGTATCCAGGTCTCTCCTTATGAAGCTGGCCTAGGCTTAGAAGGCCCCTCCCCTTCCTCTTCTTTACCTTTAAGCCTCAGTTTTAGCATCTCCTCCTTCAGAAACCTAAGGCTGAGTTAGACATCTCCCTTTCTTTCTCCAGCAAGTACTCAGACTATCCTAGCACTGCACTTCCAAGTTATTTTGTTATGATTTAGTGACCATCAGTGCTTACTCACTCTGGCACATTACTCATCAGATTGGCACAGCCTGGCACATAGTAGGTACTCAAGAGATTCTGAATGAATGAATGCTGAATGGCTTACATGGGGAAATGTTGCAGCAGCCAAAAATTAATGGTCTAGGGGCACCTGGGTAGGCTCACTGGGTTAAGTATCTGACTCTTGATTTCAGTTCAGGTCATGATGTCACAGTAATGAGATCAAGTCCCACATCAGGCTCTGTGCTGACAGCATGGAGTCGGCTTGGGATTCTCTCTCTCTCTCTCTCTCTCTCTCTCTCTCTCCCCCTCCCCCACTTGTTGCATTCTCTGTGTCTCTGTCAAATAAACATAAGGAAAAAAAAAGAAAGAATTAATGGCTTAAAGTGACCTCTGAATGCCTCCTTTCTACCTAGTCCCATATGCTACTCTTAGGGGTATCTGTGATTGAAAAGACAGGTACATTCTAGCCCAAAAGGGACATTGACCTTGAAACTTCTTATGTGTGCAGAATAAAGCTGAGAACTTTAGTTTAGAGAAAATGTTAAACTCTTTTCATCAAGAAACAAGCCCAGGACATACCAGCAGAGGTTTTCAACCCCTCTGCCAAGTTGTTAATGGCTGAGGAGGGTGAACTGTCCCTAAGATTCCACCAGTTAAGAATATCTTTAATGATTAGGGTTTTGTCTTTGAAATTCTCAGAGATTTCTCATTCTTTCCATAAAATGAAACAGACTTTTTTTGTAAATTACCTGCCAGTTAAATGACTTTCTTACCCAACTGACATACACACATTCCAGGTAGTCAAACTGATATTCCAGGAATGTACTCCATATTTATTCTATAGCTTCCCATCCTTTTTCAACACCCTCCCCAGAGAATACATTATAGCTCCTTTCTACACTACATTCCTAAAAACCAAGTGTCAGCTATATTCACTGGGGGGTGGGGGAGGGAGGAAGCCCTAGAACAAAATGGAGTAAGGATGACCTTCGGAAATAGAAAAAGAGTGGGAGGAGGGGAAGCTTGTCCTCAATATGAAAGCTACATAAAACCTCGTATTTGTGTGTCTAATGATTCTAGAATTACTTCATCTACCACCATCTGCATACCCTTGAGAGCTCCCAATGAACCCTACTATTTCCGTAGCCACTGTAGAAGAAAACAGTACTTACAGGTGATTTCTGTCTTGGTGTTACTTCATACAAAAGACTGATATATTATTTGCATATATGTGACAGACACTCAATACAGCACTCTTTGGAATAGAAGCCAAAAACTTGAACACCTAAGTGCCCGTCAAGAAAGGACAGGTAAAATAAATGACTGCACATCTAGACGACCCATCATCCACAAGATCACCTAGCCATCAAATAAAGCGAGGTAGATCATTGCTACCCGTTCACTCATGTACTGCAGGAGCTCCAGGACATGTGGTTAAAAGAAGAAAGAAGGGCACAGGACAGGTATCAATTCCTACTGAACAGAAAAGAGAGAGGAAAAAATATATACATACATATATGGATATGTATATATACACACACCCCCACACACACCCATATATATATTTATGTATGTACAGGATGTCTCTGTAATGACACACCAGCGGTTCCCGGGGGAAAAGACAAGGGTTACTGGAGGAGGGAGGTTTACTTATTACATATGAAAATTGTATTGCTTAAATTTTTCACATAAACTTTTCAAAAAACAAATCGTATATGTATAAATACACACACTTTGAAAACAAAAGCTCTCTAGGGGAAGCACAAGCAAAAGCAAAGAGGAAGGGCGAAGCCTGGCTCAGTCTCTCCACACCACTCCTGGCTTCCGGTGCCACAGCCCAGACCAGGCTGGCGTCACTGCCTTCTGCGTGGGTGATTTCTCAGCCTGGAAGGCCCTGTGTTCTCCTTCCAGAGGAGGGACACCAATGATGGAGGAGATTCTGGAAAGAGACCCTAGAATAAAAATGCAGATCTTCTCCCAACATTCTTTAGAGTTCCATCTTCATGAATTAGACTTTTAACAAAGGCTTGTCTCAAAGATTCATTTTCCCTACAAACTTCAAAAGGTCCTCCCTACCTACATTCCCCACATTCAAAAGAATCTGCATATGCTGCTAAGACTGAGGTCAAAGCAAATGTGAAGGACTTTTCCTCCACATTGAATACCAAACCACCTTGACAATAGACTCTGGAGAAAGAGCCTGTTAGCCTCTGACCCAACTGGTCAATCACACAGTGAGAAGTTCTTCCGATGGCATAATGCTCATCATCAGCCCTACAACTTGGTAAGCGTTCCCAGTACTCACAGCACCCCTTAAATAAAGTCAGACCAGTGTTCAAGCCAATCCATACCCAGAAGCCAAAAGGAATAATTAAAGGAGTGAATGTTTTATTCTTTAGCGTTTAATAGAATACATAACAAGTCACATAATCAATGATTCGTTACTTCACACACAGGGAGGAAAACAGTTATCGAGTATGTCTATCATACAACCAGTTGTGAACAGGGGGAGCAAGAATCTCTGGGGGTGTTTAGATGGTTGAAGAAATTCTCACTTAAAGTTTGGGCATGTCTGAAATGTCTTTTTTAAAATATAGAGGATTTTTTTTTCTTGGCTTTTTTGCATTAGAAAAAGTCTGATAATCATTATGATTTTTCCATTCTCCTTCTATTTTGAGAAAACGGCTTCATGGTATATATCACTTAGCATATAATGTTTTTCACAACTGCATAATCCCAGAGAGCTCTGTGGGCATCTTATACTGTGGAAAAATTTGATAACATACGATTTATGTCTTCACAATCAACATCCACAATGGACATCTTAAACTTTTGTCATTAAATGTCACGAATGATATCTGAGTGGTCGTAAATGAAGTCATCATTTGTATTCAATAGTAAGAGCAAAATTCACCTGCCTGTAGTCACAAGGACAGTTGTATAACAGTTGACATTACAATTAATGTTCACATACTTCAAAACACATTTAAAATACCAAAAAAAAAAAAGAACTTGATCTGGGAGAAAAAAAAAACCACAAAATGTATAAGGTGACACAAATTCTTGGTCAACGATTTATCTTTCTACCACACAAGATTCTAGTCTAATGTAGATGTTCTGCTTGGATTTCTTCCATCTAAGTTTCAAGGGCCCCAGTAGAGATTCTAAGTCTTCAAACATTAATACTTCTAGATTATTATTGTCCAAAATTGTGAAAAGAAAAAATTTCAACATAACTTGTTTCTGGTTCTAAGAAACCCTATTTCAGGTACTATAGCTACTCAATACACAAGAGTATGTTATTTATTCTCAAGAGACAGACTTAGGTCATCTAAGAAAACTAATTCAGTTTTTAAATGAGTTATAGTAAGGAAAAAAACAAACAAAAAATTCCAAAGGATTTACTCTGCTAAGTTTACAATAAGAAATGTTCAGTTTATTATTTTAGAAATTTAAGTTGAGTAAAGTACTTATGATTGAGACTATAAAAGAAATTCTTACAGAATTCAACCCCTCAAGTCAATGCTTTTCTAAATACTTGCACTGTACTTTAGCATGTTTTATGTGGAATACAAAAATGTTTTGAATATTAGATTAGAACTTACCATAATTTAAAAAGTAAAAAATTATCAAAGCTTCACCTTACATGGCTTCAATGTAATAACATTCCATTGAAAAGTCCAATAAAAATTGGAACATGTTATGAGCATTGCCAGTCGCCCATTTTGTCTGAGAATTCAGATTATACATTTCCTCAGAGAAGCAACAGGCCCCAGGTATGGATCTGGTTTGAAAGAGAAGACTGGTTTGGCTAGTATTACAAATTTGCTATCAATGCAAAAAAAAGAAGAAGAAGAAGAAGAAGAAACACAAGAATAAAAACAGTACCAAAGGGAAAAAAATTTCTAGGTCTCACACCTTCAAGGAATATTTTCCACATCATACAATTTGAAAAATTAGACTGAATTTGGTTCATGGTCTACATGTATTAAAAACAGAACTTCTCAAACATCTGGTGCAAAAGCATTGAACATGGTACCTGTTTTTTTAAACTCCACTGTCCACAATTCTTTTTTTTTTTTAAATTAAACTTGTTGTTAAATCTCATTTCACTCACTTGTGAACCAAATGGTAATTAAAGTTATGACATATGTAAATGCATGCTACACTGAGGCAGGTGAATAAAGTCATAATTACCTAAATAACTCATGGCAGTCTCCGAGGTTATCTGAATGGGATCTTTGGAGGGCTTACTCCTATGGACCCTCAATATCCCATCCAAGCTCGGAGGTAACACCAACACTCTAGTCCACTTTGTAGACCACTAAGGGTCCTTCCGTGGCCCCACAGCACATGGAGAAGAAGAAACCCGAAAGTGCCCACGAGAAGTCACCTTGCCACAGTTATATGACCTACACAGGGTAGAATGAGTTTCCTACCCAGCCTTTACTTTGGGCTAAAAGTAGAATGTTGTCATTTTTCAACTGCCAACTTTAGAGAGGAAAGTCATCCCTAGAAAAAGAAATCAGTTTATGGCATCTAACCATTTAAAATTCCCAGTCTTCAAATAATGAAAAGGGCGGGGTGAGCATTGCGGGGCAGCCAGAGTGGGTGGGGAAAATAAGATCTGTATATGCAAAAAAAGTGAGAGTTCAACTCAAAGTTTTACAAGTAGTTTCCTGTGACTCCCAGAGTTGTGCAGATTTCACAAGGAAAAATCAGACTCTTACAGTCTTGCCATCTGTCAGTGGTCGTAATCTGTCCTAAGATGTCTTAAATGATGTGTTTTTTGTTGTACATTCTAACAGAACACCATACAGGGAGGAGAAATCTCTGTGGCACTCTTTTGTCCAAAAAGCGACTTTGCTAAATCATTTCAAGATTGAAACAGATAAGTTCTGAGAACATGCCCAACATTTAAGCAAACACAACTTCCTGGATTTCTGCTTCCATTTCCCTTACAATTACGATCTTTGTAAATAAAACTAAGTTTGCCTTTCTAAAATTGTAACTCCAATGTAAAGATTTCAAATATTTCTCTTTGCCAGGTAAAAAAAAGAATTTGTGGGTTAAAAATACAGGTACCTTCATTTTAAGAGGACAGTTAATCAACATATTATTAGTACACAACTAATATCCAAGAGAAAACAATATGGAGCAAACTCAGTTTTGTAGTATTTTTTTCCTGGACCCAATGTCCCCATAGACAATAATATGAGAAATTCATTAAAACATGTTGCTTTAGTATATACACCATCTGATGCACATTACTGGGGGTAAATATAGGAAATTTTTTAGCATTAGTAAATGAATTAAAAAACTAAATGATTCGTGTAAAATGTTTATATATGGTATATAAAGATTGGATCACATGAGTCTAAGAAAAAAACTGTTTCAATTCTTAATATCTATTCTGGACATAGTAAGATACAGTACAAGATTCGTTTTTAAAAAGAAAAAATAGCACTAATTTGAACACTGAGAACAACTCTTACAAAATCTTTTAAAAAAACACTTTAGAGAAAACTGCTAAAACAAATGAAAAGGAAAAGGCTTCTCCGTCGTCACAGAATATCCAAAGGAGCCTCACAAGCATGAAAGACAAGGATTCTCTGCCCTTCACCTATGGTGTAGACAGGATATGTAGTGGGAATTTATTCCTCATTAGAGTAAAGGTATAAGGCAATCGGGTCTCCTGTTCTTGCATTCACCTAAAACACTATTTTATTGCTCAACCCACCTGTGATTTTTTTTTTTTTGCCTTCGTTTAAAAATATTTCATTGTATAGCTATCTGCATCTGTAGATGTAGGCAGCCCTTGGTGTGTCTCTTTCTCTGCAACTGGCGCTCAAAAAGATTCCACCTTAATTTCAAACCATCTGCATGTGAGAAGTGGCATTTCCAGGTTCTCAGGTTTGCCCAGGAGTCAGCACTGGCTGGGCTTAAAGAAAATAAGGATTTTTAAGAAGCGATCTTAAGTTTAAGTAACCAAAATCAAACACAGTTTGCTCATTAATAGGTTTTACAGTCAGGATTTATAACCAACGAGAAAACAAAGTTCAAAAAAACTAAAGTTCAAAAACTACTGGGTCACTCTTTGGTTAGGTTATATATCAGTAACTTCTAAGTTTAGGACTCAAAACAGTTCAATAAACTGCCCGATAAGAGTAATCTGCTATTAATCTTTATAAAATGCTTTGCACATTTTCGTGTACTACTTCTTAAATGTGCGTGTACTCAAACGGATGGCACAAACTTCCAACTTTCAAATAATAAGTGAGTGTGTCTGCTCCTCCCTTCCCACCCCCTCATCCCTCCTTCCTCCCTCCCCACCCCTCCCCCCAAGTCTTAAGAGCTAAGGTCCTACTGCCATTCACTGCGAGAAGACGGGCTCTCCTAATACCCAAGACGTGCATTACTACCCAGCTCCGTTTACAGTCACTGCCAGGTGACTTCGCACAGCGCCTGGCGACCTGGGCTGTCTCGCCCTGGTCGGCGTCGGCACGCTTTCTCCCTCTTGCCAATAACGGCGGCCATGTCAACCCATCGAACTAAGGGCTTCCGGCAGTGAGCCAAGGAGAAAGGATGCCTCCTCGGGCAGGAGGGTAACTTTCTACAAGTTTAAGCCACAGGCGATGACCTTTCATTGCGCGTGGAAAAGATACAATCCTTCATTGTGCCAGCACTGGATTCTTTTCCTATGTCTACACGTAACTTCTTAAAACTTTATTCATTTGTGGTCACTGAACTGCCTCCATGGGATCCTCCTTCCAGGTCCGGAGTCTTCCATCCAGCCCTCTAAAAAACTCTCCCTTTAAAGAGGGTCAAAAGGCTACATAACGACCTTTTAGGACACTAACTATTCCCAGACAGTGTTATCAATCTGATCTCTTAAACAGCTAATGAGAGAAAGGGGCTTGGGATTTCAAGGAATCGTCTACACACTGGACAGAGTCCAATCAGGTTCTGAACAATTCAATCACCACCAGTTATTTGGTGACTTTGTGGCCACACTGTCCCACTAGATCCAGACTGAAAGGGCAATCCGGGGGAGGGGTGGTTAGAGTCAGGGGACAGAGGAAGCCCTGGAGGGGATACACCTTGGGCTCTCTCGGTTGGCGGGGTCCAAAAAAGGCGAAGAAGCCGAGAGGATTTGCGGCTGCAGGTTCCCAAGTAGGGGGTGAGTGGGTCTGGTCCAGCTACTAAAGGTGGGAGACAAGGGAATGGGGGGGGGCGTGGCGTAGGAGGGGAGATGGAGAATCCTCTCCCTAACAGGAAGGACGGGGGATGGGCGCGCTGAAGTCGCGAGGGGGTCTGGGGAGCTCACTCCCGGCAGAAGACGTACTCCGTGTAGCTGGTCCAGATCTTGTCCTCGCTCTGGTCGGTGCTGCTGGCGAAGGCGCAGGTGCCCGTGGAACTGCACGCCACCATGTGGAAGCCCGACTCGGACAGCTTGTCGAAGGCCTGCTCTAGGAAGTTGAACTTGAGGTAATAGCGCGACGTGTAGCGCTCCGGAGGACGGTCCGGGTCCCGGCTCTCGTTCAGGGTGTCGCCGAACACCTCCTTGGCCAGCGACGTCTTGCCGCACACGGTGATGCGTGCCACTCGCCGGAACTTGGCGTCCGCCTGCGCGTCGCGCCCGATAGTGTAGGAGCCGCGGTAGCCGATGGTGATGTACCCCGAGCGCCGGCTGCCGTCCAACGACTGGGACGGCGTGAGCAGCGGGCCCGCCGCGCCCCCGGACGGGCTGCGGCTAGCCAGCTCCAGCGTGGGCGACGGCGCCCCGGCCGACGAGCCCTCCTGCTGCTCGGGCTCCGCGTAGCCGAGCGGCAGCAGCTCGTCGCCCAGCGAGCCCTCCTTCTGCACCCCGCGCCGCGAGTGCGGCGGCGGCGGCCCGGGGCCGGGCTGCTGGGGAGCCCCGAGGCGGCGCACGAGCTCGGGCAGCTCGAAGTACTCCGCCTCGCGCTGCAGCCGGCTGCGCTCGGGGAAGTAGTCGGGCAGCACTAGCTGCAAGTCCCGCAGGTAATCCAGGATGTAGCGGAAGAGGAAACCGTCTCGGTCCAGAAAGAAGCGGCCTTTGCTGTCCCGGGCCAGCTCCTGCGGCTGCTGCTGCGTGAACATGCGCCAGAGCAGCGAGTCGGGCACCGACACCACGGTGCAGCGCCGGGTCACATACACCTGGCCCCCCACGTTCAGCTCCACGATGTCGGGGAAGAGCGGCGGATCGGCCGAGGACGACGAGGAGCCGCTGCCTCCCCCGCCGCCGCCCCCGTTGGGTAATCCACGTGTGCTGTCCGCCAGAGCCATGGCGAAGAGGTGGCCGGTCTGGGGTGGTGGCAGCCGCCTTTCCCGGACGCTGGCTCAGCCCTGCGCCTGGCCGCCGCCGCCGCCGCGAGTCGCGCGGTGCGAGCGCGCTGCTCTGCGCCCCCGAGAGCCGCGGTGCGCTCCGCCCGCCTCACCCGCGCGCTCCAGGCGAGTGCCGGGTCTCGGTCGGCGCGCGGCTTAAGTAGAGCCGCCCGCTCCGGCGCCGCGGCGCGCAGGAGGCGTGGGCGGCTGCGGAGCGGCGGAGCCTTGCTCCCCGGGCGGGAGGGGGAGGGGGAGGGGGAGGGGGAGGGGAGTGGGGGGGGGGGACGGCAGAGCGGGGAATCGATTTGCATCCTGAACGCTGACGCCGCGCCCGACTGCTGGCTCCACCCCGGCTCGCGCGCGTCGGGGACGACCCGACTGCACCCTCCGCCCCCCTCCGCCACGCCGGGCCCGCGCTCGAACGCTGCCCGCTCCCGCCCAACTGTCTTCCCCTCCAAGGCGGACAGAGCCTGGGACGGGCCGCTTCGGAAGACGAGCCTCCTTTGGAAGGGCAGTCACGGCGCCCTCTCCCCTCCTAACGCCGTCCGCGAGGAGAACGTAAACTTTCCGGCTCGCCCCCGCCCGGGCAGAAGTGCGCGGCCGCCGCCAGAACTGGCCGCTTTAAACACTGGAGCTGTGGCGCTGCCCTGGCCGGTCGTCGTGCTGCTGAACGTTTTAAGACACACAAAAACACCTGAGGTCCAGGGGGCCGCCTCCGGACTTGTTGCCGGTAACAAGTAGCCTCGAAAAAGGCCGAGAGGAAAAAAAAAAAAAAACTAACCTCAGTATCCGGCCGTAGAACTGTCACTGATAGTTTCTTTTATGGGTGAAGAGGCAAACTCACTGGTTGAGAGGACTGAAAGTAGGAGGGAATGTGCTGCGGTGGCGACAGAGAACTTGGGGGCACTGAAGGAGTGACTTCTGGCGCCTTCCCAGCAGCGTGGAGGACGCGGCCTCCGGGCACAGCGCCTTCGAGGCCAGGCTGCAGGGGACACAGGGAGGCCGAAGCAACTGCCCCGCCTCCCTTTCAACGTCCGCTGAACCGCGCCAGAAACCAATAATGAGTAAAAACCACCTTTCAGACCCTGTGTGTTTACGCTCCCAGAAGCGCAGGTGCCCGTGGTCTCCCGCGCACCTCGGTCGTCCAGACGGTTCTCCCCAGGTTCCGTCTTCTGTCAGGGCCGTTGTACTTTTGAAGGCGCTTCTAGATCCCACGTGGTGCGGTAACTCCTCCCTCCACGTTGCATTCATCTGGCGCAGTGCAGCCCGGAAAACTTCTCCATCACCACCCGCAAGCCTCCACGGGCTTTCCGGGCCGAAGAGCTCTCCGGATTGACCCGCCACGTGCCCGCCTCACGAAGCCCAGTACATGCTGAAATTTCACATTTGTGAGTGATTATCTGATCCTGGCTTGGGTAAATAAAACAAAGAGAGGGAGGTGAAGAGTGTTAAGAAATCACCACGCGGGACGCCTGTGTGGCCCAGTCAGTTGAGCCTCCAACTTAGATTCAGGTCGTGATCTCAGGTGTGTGAGTTCGAGCCCCACATCGGGCTCTCTGCTGTCAGCCAGGGACCGCTTTGGATCCTCTGTCCCCCCTCTTGCACCTCCAGTGCTCATGCTCTCTCTCTTTCAAAAGTGAAGAGAAATGAGAAAGAAACCACCATGCCAATGAACATTCGTTTTGCACTGCTGTTGCCAGGGCCAGACCTCGATGAATGCAAAGTGAAGTACAACGACCCAAAGTGCTTTCCATGGAGCCCACTATGCAGAGGGGCAGAAGTCTGAGCAGTTAACCGATCAGTCTGAAGAACAGACCCTCATGCAGGACAAATTAGCAGAGATCTATGTTCTTGATGTTTACCCTTCCCTGTAACTGCCCAATGGGCTTCACAGTCTCCTCAGGGATAAATGTCATTATTATTTTGAAATGTTTATGTTGGCTGAACAATTGTGTCATTCATGTCAGAGTGGCCCGAAACCAGCTCACTTAATTGCAAGTACAGATTCTGATACTGTATATATTTGACCACTCCATTTGTTCTTTGGGAGAAATAATAAATGACACAAAAGTTCCCAGTTTGGCAATGCTGAATTTCTAGGTGGTGATGCTACTATTTGGTGTATCCGTGTCACAAGCCTGACAAAACCAGTCTCTTTTCTATAAATCAAAGAAAAGCCTTCTTTCTATATATCGTTTTATATCATTACTTTGTTCATGGTACCAGCAAATCCTTTCAGTTCTGCCTTCAAAATATTTCCTGACAATTAACGCGCTTCACCACCTCCCTGCCCCCACACTGGACCAAGCCACCCATTATCCCTTACTGGATTATTGCATCCGTCTTCTAACTGCATTCACCTTTGCCCCCTACAATCTTTCATCACCACAACAAAGAGAGGGATCCTGTTATAACCTAAATCAAATCATGCCACTCTGCTCAAAGCCTCCCAGTGGTTTCCCATTTCACAAAAGAGTAAAAACCAAACTCCTTTCATTGGCCTACAAGACTCCACAGGATTGGAGCCGCCCCACTGGCGCCTCCCCCCCCACCTCTCTGCTGCCACTTACCCAAGAGCTTGCTGGCTTGAGCCACCTTAGCCCCCCCTCCTACTGTTTTCTCAAAACCTTTGCACTTCCTATCCCCTTTCTAAAACACTTACCTTTCCCTGCCTTATCTTCCTTGCCTTCTTCTTCGGGACTCTGCCGCAAGACCTTCCCTTGATCACTTTATTTAATATAGCACAGCCTCACCCAAGCTGCTTCCCCTTCTCCGCTTTGTTTTCTGTTTCCCTGCATTAGAATGTAATCTCCAAGAGTTCATGGAGTTTGTCTGCTTGATTCATTACCACATCCCCCGTGCCTAGAACAGTCCTCACATGTAATCGGCATTCCATAAGTCTCTATTGCTCACTCGCTTATTCCACCAATATAAAGTGCCTGCTACTGTGTTCCAGGCAGTGTGTTAGAAAATAATGTCTGCCTTCTTGGAGCTCAGTCTTGTGAGGAAGACAGATAATAAATATATAGATACGTAAGTCCAGTTTAGGTAGAGATAAATGCCGTGAAGTAAATAGAATTGTGAAATGAGACAGAGGGCGGCGCACGGGGATACTACTTTATATAAACTGAGTGGGAGGGCCTCTCCGTGCTGGTGACATTTGAGCTGAATAACAGGAAAGAGAACCATTCTCTACCAGCTGTCACAACCTGTTCACCCACTACAAGCTATTCCACCGCAGGAAGCCATTGGTATTTTCTTATAGAAGTCTAGGTTGTGCATGAGGGTCATCATAATGAATGAAACGGGACCTGAGACTGAAAGAATGATATTCTGGTCAATTTGGTATGTTCTCTTCCTCATCTACTGACTGGTGTCACAAAATTCAAGAGGAAGTGTAATTGGGGGAACTTCAGTGTTGGGACTTAAGGCCTGATTTTATGGGGGAAGGGAGGGCCATAACTCTGGCTTCTTCCGTATGTTAAATATGCATGAGGTAAGGGAGGAGTCTGGAAATTGCCAGCCCTGTCTAGTCTCAATCCAGTTTCTAGTGATGGATAAATTGATCATTGTTCCTTTGCAAGCGACTCTGTACTTTTCCAATAAGAGACAGTGCTCTCCTTTTATCCTCAAGTGCCGGGCATTGGAAACACCTCTGACCTACATTCTCATCTGATTTGTATCTCCTCCCCCCTCCACTACCTTCTCTTCTAGTCAACTTCCCACCCCACCCCATGCACTTGATAAATATTCTGCACACTAAAGATTTGAGCAAGAAATGAGAAAGTTTAAAAGAATAATATAAAGTTAAAAGGGAAGGAAGAACTGGGTGAAATGAAATGAGCGCCTAGGAGGATTGAATGAATTTAACCTATGAATTTAACATAAACGATCTGTAAGCTGTAAAACACCATTCAAGTGTCAGAATTGTGATTTTCCACCGCCTGTCATAGTGCCTGGCAAGCCTACGCAGTAAATACTGGAGGAATAAATGAATGGCAAAAACATTGAAATGAATGCTAGGAGGAAAGGGGAGAAGAGACAGAATCAAATATTGTCCCAAACAAATGTTTGGCTCATTTATCATCCTCCCAGCGTGTGAGTCCCTTCTGTACACGGGCTTTAAAATTCATTGACTTGTCACTTTCAGATGAAGAAAAGAATTGGATACCAAACTTGAAGTAAATCAGGGAATAAAATGGTCTTAATAAAGAATAGGTAAAATAGATCCCAATATCTAATCCTAAAAAGAGAGACAGAAAATGCTAAATGAGGGACATGGCCAAAATATTGGGCCAAGAAAATGAAGAAAATCCCAACATCACAATGATATGACTTTTATACTTAGTAGAACCAAACACAGAAATAAAAGTTAATAATGTTGGAAATGTTAATGTTTTATTTCCATATCCTTAGATACAGTGTCTGAGACTTTTCCAGGGAACAAGTAATAATATAATAGCAGGCATCCATGGAGCACTTGCTAGGTGCTGTCCCTGCTAGATCGCTCCCTGCATTAGCACCTTTAATCTATGAGGTTAGTTCTACTGCTACCCAACTGTTAGAAGACCAGATGGGCAAATTAGCGGTAGAGCTGGGTTTGAACCCAGCAATCTCTCTTTAAAATTGATGCTTTGAAATGCTGCATTTTCCAGCCTCTCACTTCTACAAATGCTTTAGATGTATGAAGGAAACAGGTTCTATTAATTTCCCCCACTTTACTGATGGAGGACCCAAGACAAGAGAGGTTGAGTAACCTGACCAGTGTGATGCAGCTGTTTATCCCTGCTTGGGGAGAAAACGGCACTCTACCATCCTGTGCTTGTGAGCCACAGGGTTGGTGACTGAAAACTCAAAGTAGCTGCTGTCAAAGAAGTAGGATTAGGAAGGAGTTAAGTCCTTGGCTCTGGCTTCTGTCTTCTATCGATAGCACAATCTCGCCTCCAGGAGGAATCTCCAAGGACATATTTGAGCCCACAGACGGAATGGACTCCTCTTCGCCCAAGCCGGTCCTACACGTGGTAAATATGATTTTATTTCTGGCCCTCTAAAATACCATAAGGGTTTGCAAAGCACCAGGTTCTTAGTAGGTTTACTTAGTTTTATTCTGATCTCATTAACTCTAGACAAGGATAAAGTGACTCCCTGGCAACTGCTGAGATCCAGACTCTAGTTTTCAAAGGCAAGCAGTATCTACTGGTCTTCTGGGACTTGTGAAATTGAACAAATGTATTCTCCTTGTGGCTTTACATATCAAGCTGAGCACAAAAATAGCCGGACCTCACACACACGAGTGATTCTGGAATTTCTCACCAAGGCTAATTATTAACATCACTGCCTTGGTTTCAGATTGTGGTACTTTGCCTAGAGGTTAACTATGAATGAGTTAACACATTCTATTCTAGTGCCTCATGGATTTGAGGGCTTTCATGTTGTCAGCTTCACTTAATTTTCACAACGGTGTCGGGAGGTGTCATTCAACAGTGTCACAAATGCAGAAAGGCGCTCAGAAAGGGCAGGCGATTTCCACTGCCCCTCTGGTAACAGCGCAGTGCAAACATGCCTGTCAGGTAACTGGATGCAGTGCAGGGCTGCAAACAGAGGCCTCCTGTGTCCTGACACTCAGTGGTCTTCCAGCTCTTCAGCAGCCCTGTCAAATCTGCTCAATTTAAGGCCCCACACGAGGGTTGTCATTCAAAATAATCACCTTGGAGACTGTGTGCTTATTTGAGAAATGTCAGAATCACTCACCATTGTTGGCATATCTGTTTAGGAATTTCCTTCAGAGCCAGCTTACGCAGGAACATCACTGCATTACTTTATAATTATGCCAAATGTGGGATCGATCTCTTTACAAGACTATAGAACGAGGGACCTCACTGCAGGACAGGCCCAGATGTCCGAGAATAAATGAGGACAGAGCCAGTTTTCATGAGTGTGAAACTTAGGTGATGATTATCAGGTATTCACCTTTTGACATTGGGCTTTAAGGATCTCATCCCTGCAGCTCTCTAATATGCTGAATAGTATTGAGTTTAGGTTATGCAGAAAGAAAGGCTGATTCAACCGCAGAGATTTTAATATGTGGTTCCAGAAAGTCTGCATATTTCACTGTGAGGTTTGGACAAGAAGCCAAGCCACTGGCTAGACTGTAATGGGCGGCCTCTTATGTAATTGTAAGATCATTTGTTTGATATAATTAAGTGGAGGGAGGGACCTTTCCCTAATTTGCTTTCCAGTTACCGCAGAAATATGCATGATATTTCACAGTAGGGAAATGGCTTCAAACTCTGCTAAACTTTAAATTTATATCACCTAATATGATTTAGTTTTAGAAAATAAGTGGTTTTCTCCTAAAGTATAGATGAGAAAAATCATACACTTTAGGGTTGGATGAACCTGTATTCTTCTCCTGGCTTTGTTATTTAAAATCTAAGGTTTGAGGGGCGCCTGGGTGGCTTAGTCGGTTAAGCGTCCGACTTTTGCTTAGGTCATGATCTCACAGTTCGTGGGTTCGAGCCCCGCGTCAGGCTCTCTGCTGACTGCCAGCTCAGAGCCTGGAGCCTGTTTCAGAGTCTGTGACTCCCTCTCTCTCTGACCCTCCCCTGCTCACGCTGTCTCTCTCTCTCTCTCTCTCTCTCTTCTAGAAATAAATAAAAATGTTTCAAAAATAAAATGAAATCTAAAGTTTGAGGCAAAGTTACTTAAAATATTCTGAATTTCAGTTCCTTATCTTAAAATGGAGTAAAAACACCCACCTCATCAGACCCTTGAGAGATTAAGTGAATGATATTAAGCATTTCATTTCACAGTATCTGCCATCTAATGAGCACATCATAAACATAAGTTTCTACCACCACCTTCCCCTTCCTGTCTCCACTGGGCTTCTATAAACCCAGTAGTTCCCTGCCAAATACACTTACCTTGAGAATTTTATCACTTTTTCTCTTGGATGACATCTCTAGTAGTGTCCGTAGTATCTAAAATGGGCAAGGCAAATGCATTTCATCTGCTATTCCCTCTTCTTCCCAGAAGTCAGTCATTTCCAACACAAATTTGCTCTCTGGTTAAAAGATTTGGTCAAAATCTAGACCGTTTGGAAGTCTTAGTTTTAGAGCTTATTTGTAATCCTAGACCTTGCACTCAAGTGACAATTAATAAAGCAGCTTAGTTTGACTCAGAATTATAAGTTCAGCCATTGGCAACATCTGGGAGGGAAAGTCTAGCTGGTGGTGTAGAGGTAAGGGGGAATAAAGGGAATCTAAAGAAAATCTAGGTGTCCTTAAAATCTGAAGAAAGTGACTTCCTCTCTGTGCCCAACCCAGGAGCCCAAGTCAGGAAATGATGAAGAAACGAGCCTAAAGAGGACAGAGCCTCAAGAGCACCAACCCAAATGACAACTGTGATGTTTCCCATGTAGCTCCCATGCTACAGGGGATCCACAAGAGGAAGAACTCGTAAGTACACTGCAAAGGAAACAGAAGTTTTACATCTTTGTAGCAGATATTACTGGAAGAGGAATCAACAATATGAGAAGGTTATCTCCTCTTTACATTGTATTCAACATCCCTTTAAATATTTATGAAGCGCCTGCTATGTGCCTGATCTTGCCAGAAGTCATGATGGCTCTATAGGTCCATGGCCATGAGAATCTGCATAATATCAGAGTGAATGGCCACCAGTGGGGCCATCAAGAGTTCCATATGTCACATAGGATCATGACAGGGAGGGAGGTTACCTTCTGTGTCAGTCAGGGTTCTCCAAAGGAAAAGAACCAATAGTATGGGTATCTGTATGTATGTATATCTACACCAAAATGTGTATCCATTGATAGATAAAGACAGAGATTGACTGATTTTAATGAATTAGTTCATGTGATTGTGGGGGCTGGTAAGTCTGAAATCTGTAGGGTAAGCCAGTTGACTGGAAATGCAGAAAAGATTTGAAGTCTCCATCTTGAGTCTAAATCTGTAGGTCCGGCAAGCTGGAAACCCAAAAGAGGTTTCTGTTACAGTCTTGAGATGGAATTCCTTCTTTTCTGGGAAACCTGTTTTTTGTTCTTTTGGCTTTCCCTTGATTGGACTAGGCCCATCCACATTATGGAAGGTAACTTCCTTTACATAAAACCAAATAGTTGTAAATGTTAATCATATCTTCAAAATAACCATCAAAGCAACATCTGGACCTGTGTGTGACTGAACAGTTGGGCACCACAGGCTAGCCAAGTTGACAAAAAATTAACCATCATAGTTTCCAAACAGTGTCCTATGAGAGGTGAAACTGAGCTTCTTTGGGGGAAATATGGCTGTCCATCAACAAGAAGCCATAGCTTCACAAACTATAAAGAACTGATATTCATTCATCCATTCATGCTAGTGTAAGAGCATCTGCAATTACAAGTTTAGCCCCACTTCGTCATTCGTTCTTATGATCAAATGCTCTTCAGACAGTCCAAGCTGTTTGTGAATAGAGGAGCAGGTAGTCTCACTCTCAGCTTCGTGACGTGGAGGCCCTCTACTGTATTTACAGTACCATAGACCCAGGGAAACTAGCTGTGTGGACACACTGCATTTATTAATGAAGATGTTCTCTATTATTAATTAATCTATTATGTATAATTTATTCATGACTCTATTAAGGAGGCATGAGAAGATCATAGAGGAAGAAAGAATTTCATAACTAAACTGACAATACCCAGTGTCCTCCAAAAATCACATTTCACACCCACCTATGTACCTTGCTAGATCTTCAGTCTCTGGGCTGTCTATGAACAAAGTGTTAAAGAACTGACCTTTTCTGCCCACGAATGAGAGACAAACTAATGCTGTTCTGCTTTCCAAGGAGAGAGAGAAAATAGTTCCCAGAAAATAAAGACACTCCTCCTCCAAAAACTTCCAGAAGGGATTATTAAATAGGTTGTTTATGGACTTTTTAGTGAGGGAGAGAACTGACCTCTGGAAACAATAGGAGCTCACCTCAAGTACGTCACCTCTAACAAAACCCTTTTCCTGCTTGGGCTGCTTTGCTAATGTCATGCAATATAGTAATACTGTATCACAGTGTATTATATTTTTATAAAGTGTTGGACAGCTCAATCATAATATCTTTTTGGACACTTTAGGAAAAGTGATGCTGGGTTATAATATCAATTAGATGGGCACGTTGTTGATAATACAGGTCTTTTCAAGATTGTTGACGAATGGAACAATGTCAAACTGAAGAGAAAGGGGGCAGGACCAGGTTGTTTTCGCTCTTTTCTACCCAGCTTTTATCAGGAAATTAAATGAAAATGTGAGAATCATGTTAACAAAATTTATGGAGGACACATATCTTGCTGGGCTAACTAATCCAACAGATATGGAATTAACATTCAAAATCATCCACATAGGCTTCAGTAACAAAAAGAAACAAGCAAGAGAGAATGTAGTGAGCATAAATGTAAAGTTGCTTAAGATGCAGCTTAGCAGAAGTTCATGCGAAAACTTATCTGGGGCTCTGCCCTCCATCAATTACAAGTTCAAGAAACCAATAAGATGGAATGTCTGTAACACACGTGCAAAATACAACAGCTTTTAAATGTTGGAAAGGACCTCACAAATAATTCAAGTCAAATCCCTCACTTTACAGAGAAAAGCTGAGCGACAATCATAGAAACACAATAACTGATAGTAAAGCTGGTATTTATGTCTTATTATAAACATCACAATCTTGAGTTATTTGTATTGTGGTCCTGATTTGCATTTCCCTGGTGTTGAGCACTTTTTCATATACCTGTTGGCCGTCTGGATAGACATCCAGACATCTTGGAGAAATGTCCATTCAATTCGTTTGCCCATTTTTTAGTCAGGTTGTTTTTTGTTTGTTTGTTTGTTTGTTTTTGCTATTAGGGTAAACAAGTTGCTCATGGTGTTTTGGATATTAATCCTTTATGAGATATATGATTTACAAATATTTTCACCCATTCCATAGGTTGCCTTTTCATTTTGCGATTGTTTCCTTTTCTGTGCAGAGGCTTTTTAGTTTGATGGAGTCCTAATTGTCTATTTTGTTGTTATTGTCTAAATAGCCATCAATGGACAAATAAAGTGTGGTATATAATAAAATGGAATGTTATTCAGCTGTAAGAAAAGAAGGAAATCATGTCATGTGGGACATGGGTGAGGCATGCTAAGTGAAGTAAGCTAGACACAAAATACTACATGATGTCACTTACATAAGGAATCTAAGACAGTCAGACTCATAGAAACAAGGAGCAGAATCATGGTTGCTAGAGGCTGGGAGTAGGGAGAAACAGAGAGGCATTAGTCAAAGGCACAATAGTTCATTATACAAGATGAGTAAGTCCTAGAGATCTACAGGACAGCATAGTGCCCATAGCTACCAATCCCGTACTGTGTACTCAAATTTTGCTAAGAGAATAGGTCTTATGTTAAGTGTTATCACAAATAATAATAACAACAATAAAGAAAGAAAAAAGAGTTATTTTGATTGGCAAAGGTTAGGTCAAGATGTATGAGCAAGATTTTGAGGAATTCAAAAATACAATGTCAAAGAGTTTTTTTTTTTAGTTTAGCCTGGAATGTAATAGAATAGCCTAGAAGGGAGTACAGTTTGAGGCACCATGGCAGCTGTATTCTTTCCAACACCAAACAGCAAAGTGAGGGCCTACAGGTAGAAGCTAAAAAGGAAAAGTGTGGACTTAGCCTGTGAACACCTTTGGACCAACCGAAGCCATTTTAAGAGCCGTGGGCCCGTCCCTGCTATAGATCTAAGTTGCAGGCCCACCGAAGACAAGTAACATGAAAGATATTTATAATCTGTGTTAAGAAGCTGCATGAGATGATCCACTTCCTTTATATTTCTAAGATTCTATAATTTCAGAGAACAATTCGCCTCATTGACTTCTTATGCAAAAACAAACAGGTTTTTTTCTAATCTCTCCCATTTTCAGGGATCGAAACCTGATGTCACACCTCTGATATTAGAGAACTTAACAATCATAATCAATAGCAAATATGTCTTATACATTCCCTGTGTTCCAGGATACATGGCAAACAGTAGACCAATGATGCCTTAAATGTCCGAATATCCAGTGATTACCAGATTTGGGGGAAAAAATGGCATAATTTTCTTCTTGGTGTTAAACCATTGACTAAATGTGAGGGCAATACTCTCATTATTATCGAATATTTCCAAAGTGTTTTATATAATCAGTTTTGTTCATTTATTTAAATAAATCCAACCACACAAGTATAACAAGTGAACATTTACTAATAAATCTACTTTTTACTCATTACAGAGGAAGTAAAAATCTATTAAATAATACAGCACCAATTTATATAATTTAAATCATTTTATTCCATAAGTTGATTTTCTAATTATATTTGTTTTTCACCTGTTCATTCTACGAAAATCTTATATTATTGAGCCCTTCTGCTGGATAAAAATTGAGGCAGTCATTATGCATTTGGCAAACTCTATAGAACTGTATAATGCAGAATAAATCCTAATGTAAAATATGGACTTCAGTTTAAAATAATGTATCCGGATCGCTTCATCAGTTAACAAATGCACTACACTAATTGGAGACACAGAAGAAACTGCAGGTAGGGAGTACAGTGAAACCTTGGTTTGCGAGCATAACTCATTCCAGAAACATGCTTGTAATCCAAAGCACTTGTAAAGCAAAGCGAATTTCCCCAGAAGGGGGGAAATGGAAACTCAGATTATTGGTTCCACCATCCAAAAATATTCATATAAAAAGGATTACAATATTGTAATAAAATACAAAATAATGAAGAAAATACAAAATATAAAGGAAAATAAACAAGTTAACCTAAACTTACCTTTGAAAAGTTTTGTGGCTGGTGTGAGGGAGAGGAGAAAGGAGGATTATTATGCAGGATAACTTTCACTATCACTAATGGAATCACTGGTATCTGTTGGCTCATTGGAATCTTCTTCTGCATGGACGCCATTCTATATGCCTACACAGATGTTGGCTACAGTACAGTATTAATAAACTCTTGTCATATACTCTAGTGTAACTGGCAATAATTGAGTCTAACTCTATATCTGCAGGCAACCTGATCTAGAATGAAGCAAAGTGATCCTAAGCTTACTCTTTTATGGAAAAGCAAAGGACTGTCCACAGGTGCTTTGAAGTGACAAAAAATACACTAGTGCCAGTTGTGGGCATCTTCCAATGTTGAAGAGCACTGATTTCTGCCCAACGCAGCCGGAGACAGAGCATCTGAGTGTGGGAGACCGTCACCCATAATCCAGCAGTGTGTGTGTGTGTGTGTGTGTGTGTGAGAGAGAGAGAGAGAGGGAGAGAGAGAGAGAAGAACCATTGGCTCAGTGATCATGTGATGTCCGGTGTCACATACCACTCATATTGCAAGACTTTGCTCGTTTATCAAGTTAAAATTTATTAGAAATGTTTGCTCGTCTTGCA